AGTGGAACAAACCAGTTCTGCTTGTGATAAGATGGTCTCTTTGGTACGCCCCCTCCAACATTGCCGGCCCTCTTCCTTGTTGACAGTCGACAGACTTGACAGAGGGCTGGCAATGAAGGAGGAGGTGTACCAAAGAGACCATCTTATCACAAGCAGAACTGGTTTGTTCCACTTTGGAGTAAGCTGTTGGGGGAAGAATCAGTTTTATTGTGTTTCCTTGACTGATGAAGCCTTCCGGACCAAAGGCGAAACGTTTCAGCACAAAAAAAATAAACTGTCCAGATGACCTGACTGAAAAATGTTGGATTGTATACCTGGATTATTGAGCATGGACTTTGTTACTAACTCATCTTCTTGCAATTTTTTTATGAGATCTTTCATTTTCACATTTTAATGTCAGGTCAAGTGTCGCCATAGCTGTATGGCTGTTGGCCTCGTCATTGTCCCTTGCTTTTTGGAGGCCTCCTACTGTCCAGGTGGAGATGTTGTCGATCCAGCTTATGTTCCTTCTCCCCCTGTTGTTTGCGCCTCCCACTTTGCCTTGAATGGTACAGAGCACTAGACTTGCTGGACTTCTCTTGCAATGTTCATATTTGGCTTTCTGTTGACGATTGATTGCATCAGCCCACATCTTTCTGGAATCTTCACTTGTTGTCATACCCATTCATTTGTTTTGTGCTGCATCCAGGTAACTTGCATGGTTCTCCTACATATCCACATCTCCAGAGTGTTGTTTTAAAGGTTTGAGCAAAAAAAAAAAAAAAGTAGCTCATTTATGCCTCTTTCTAAGATGGTCTTAGTTTGAAATTCTGGCATGAAAGATGGGGAAAAATGTGTATTCCTTTAAGAAAGGCTAGGGCATACGTTTGTCTTGATTTTCAAACCATATTAACGATGAAGCTTAGAATTATTTTTTTTATGAACATAAATAAACCACATATAAATGCTTGCAGTAGCCGTGCAACAGAATTTTTTTTGCAGATCGAGTAAACACACTCGGTGTGAGGCAACGGTCCAGCAATGCAACACCAGGCTACAAGTGTGAAGCCTTCATAAAGGTCTCCTTCCATATCAGACTGTCAAAGCTGCTGATTAAAACATCTATTAAACTGTATTGCAGTATACACACACAGGAGAAGCTGGGGGTGGGGTGTGTGTGTGTGTGTGTGTGTGTGTGGGGGGGGGGGGGTTTACAAAGTGAGTAAATAATCAGTCCCATGCTCTCCTCCAAATCACACGGCACATATAGAAATACTCTAATGAGAAAGTGATGCCTGCTGGTAAGAAAAGGACAGCAGAGAAAATTCACCTTGTTCACTATCGATTGTGTGGGGTAGATCATTTAAACAATTCAATTACAGCAAAAGCCTTTGTAGCACTGAATTGATCTCCTTTTCTTCTGCTGTTCAGCTGGTTTACATCTTCAGTACATGTGCTTTAGAGTGAAGTGTGGGCTCCTGCCGTGGCATGGTTGCGTTGGTTAACTTGCCTGGGCCGGAAATCATGTCTTACAAAAACCCTCAATACCTGACAGACGATATTTGTATGCTCGGGCATCCACCTGCTCAACCTGGAAGGTCGTAACTGGATGTTGTTGGCCCATTTCCAGTCCCTGAAGCATTGTGGCTGCCTTCTAGGCATTAAACCCTAAAGAGCTTTGCTGGAATGCACTAGGAATATTCTATTTGGATGTGCCACTTTGTAATTCGTTTTGAGAAGCCTTTTGTAGATTTGAATAGAATTTAGGATGACTGAGAGTCCTAAAATAAGAGGGAAACAATCTTCCACAGAAATGTTTGGCGTTCTGTTTCATAGCCTTAAAAGTGTTGTGGCTTACCGAAGTGTCATTAGGTTAGAGGAACCATTCAGGGTTTTTGACAAAAACTGGTGAGGTGTGATATTAGATCTGCTTTTGGACAATGCAAGCAGTCACCAAACAGCTAACGGTGGCCTGCCCATTCATCTCCTGCAGTCCTTCCATTTGACACCCTCCTCCCTTCTCCTCCATTTGCTCCCTTATTAAAGAGTGTGAAGTGGTGTTTGAATGTAGTTCCTGGGTCTCTTTCTCAGCAGCAAGCAGTAGCCTGATGAGGAGCAGGGAAAGAAATATAGACCCATGGAACAATATTTCACTGGCACCAGCTTGACAGTGATGGATAGAGAATCATTAGACATTTGCCAGTTTGCTTGGACGTAGAGTTATTTTCAGCAATAATGTATGGGAGAGGGAACAGAGGCTGGAGGACGGCTTCTGGAGCTATCTCAGAGGCCCATGGATTCCACTTTGTTGGACTTGTGAACATGTTTGGAAGCAAAAAGTGGACATTTTGAGTAACCCTTTTTTTAAATGACAGCTTATTGCACAATATTTTGTTGTCCACCTCTGTGTACAACACACCTTGCCTTGCTGCCTTGGCAGCTGCCCCTTGCATGTATGATTTAATCCAATGGTATACACTTTTGAAACAATGATAGAAAGATTTGGAGCATTTCTTTTGTGTTTTGTTTTCTAAATTACTATTCATCATCCGTGCTGTTTTTAGACTTGGACATTAACCTTGGATAAACAGGTCTTGAGAGAATATTTATAATTCAAGTTGTAAGTTTCCTGGGTTCATTCAGACTAGTGCTCATCAGAACCTACTCCACTTTTATTCCAAAATTAGGTTGTTCAAAAACTATATATAACTTGTAAAGTATTTTTTTTGTACCTTTTCCAATGAACCCCTTTTCATAAAATTTGAGTTTTTGCTTTAAATAGTAGCTTTGCCCTAGTTAAAAAAAATTGAGCAGCAGACAACAAACAATTTCCATAACTGTTTGTGTCTAATTTTGATTTCTAAGAATTTGTTCAACATTTTAAATCTGAAACCTTCTTCTGTTTCAGGTTACCATTTTTCAGCTTGAACACTTTATAAAAGAGCCTACTACAAGTATCAATTAGACTATTACTGTGTTTTCAGCTCTTCCTGCCTCATTCCAGCTGACAACACACACAGAGAATGCACATCATCCATCAGTATTGACTCACAAATCTCTCCCTTTTTCCGCAGTGATGGTTTTGCTAATTGTGACAATGCGCCGGAGAAGGAAGCAGCCCCTCATTCTTGAGGAGGAGAGGGACATCAGAGAGAACATTGTTCGTTACGATGATGAGGGAGGGGGAGAGGAGGACACAGAGGCCTTCGACATGGTCACGCTACGCAACCTCAACATCGTCAGAGACCCCAACGTGCGTCGAGATGTAACACCAGATACGCCCACCTACTTCCATTACACCTCAGCTTCCCACCCGCCTTACAAGTCCCTGCCAGATAACGTGGTGTTTCGGGAGTTTATTTGGGAGCGACTGAAGGATGCTGACGTGGACCCGACAGCTCCCCCTTATGACTCTCTGCAGACGTATGCTTTTGAAGGAAGTGGTTCCGTGGCTGATTCGCTAAGTTCACTGGAGTCATTAAGTACAGACTCGGATCAGAACTATGACTATCTCAGCAACTGGGGTCCACGCTTTAAGAAGCTGGCTGATCTGTACGGCAACAGTGACAGCGGCAGCGTCTTCTCATAGCCCCTAAATGTTTCTCCTAATCCTTGAACATAAATACCTGAGTAGTATATTGTCAGAGAAAATGATTTTGTCCACCTTAGTGCATTGGATGAAAAAGATTCAAAGACAACACAAGAGATTGAACGGGAAAACTCTTTGACTTCAACAATTGTTGGTTTGTTTACCTCCCTGTATGGATTTTCAAAAGCGTGCCATGGCGAGTTTTGACACAGACTTCAAATGTGGCTCGACTGAGGAGGAAGCCTTGTGTGCAAAAGACATTAAAGGTTTCACATTTTAGACTCGAGTCCAGCAGTTGACTGCAGAATGCATTACATGTTGAAGCTTTTTTCATTATTTTTTATGGCAAGGTACCTGTCCTTTCATTCCAGTGATGGGCACGGGCCCAACACTCTTGCTTTGATGCAATCCTTTGCTATCTTTGTGCTAAAAAAAACATGAAGTTTCTCATGAAATGCTGTCTCTCTGGCAGCTAATCTGTAGTCACTTGGCTGATTATATGAAGTATGGGAACATTTTTTTTGTTGTTGTTTATTTCTTTTCAAGGGGAAAAGGGTATTAACAGGCTGTATTTTCTAAACTTTTACATCCAGAGCCACATTACCCACAGACTCAGTCGTACCTCTGAACGCTATGTGACGTTTGCACATAGTACAGTATAAACAAGTAGTTGGTGTGCTAAGGAAGTGACGTGATAAAAAAAAAGAATGACGCATTTTAGTTTGATGTATCTACAGGGTGAAACAAGATTAAAAAAAGTATAATTTCTCTTTTTCTCCTTACAACACATTTTGCAGATGTTGCAATGTAGTGCGTGTCTCAGTCCGTTTCTACTTCTGCCTTTCTATTGCCAAGTCCGATGTATCATTTCTCAGCTATAAACTGTCAGGATTTAGTTGTTCTGCTTTTGTACGAGGCCGGTGGCTCTGCGAACCTGTGCTGCATCAGAAAGCTGCGCCGACGGATCTTTCCTTGTGCTGGAGATTCACACTACTCAGACTCGGATAAAAATAAAAAGTACGTATTTGTTCTCTAGGTGGCAGACATCACCGGGGTGAAGTTGCAGTTTGTACGTAAATTAATTTAGCTTTTGTAGTTTGCAAAGTCAAGCTTATATTGTCATTTAAAAATCAAATAAAACAATGTATGGTTTGAATATTGAAGGTATAAGGACACATTGTATAATAATCATATTGTGGCGATTTTTGAAATGTTTGTTTATCTGCTTCAACAAATTCTGTTACACTTGGGTGTGCAAATGTGCAACCGGTACATTTTATTATTTATTTCAAAGAGGCAGAACTGTGCAAATGATGTTTTTATCCTTTTTGCTGAAAATAAAATTGACATTCAGTTACTTTAAAGGCTAAAGTGTTAATTTTTTAAAGGCAATGTGAATAGTACCAAAACAATGTATGAATTAATGCCATCTTTAACCACTAATTATAACTAAATTCTAATGTTTACTATCAACAATTGTAAAATTGATGGTACATTTTTTTCCAATGAGGACGTCTCAAGAAACCATTAAAAGATCTTTATGTTTGATGAGGCTTCAGTAGTTGAAAGGCCTGATAAAGACTAAATGTTTACGCTCCACTGAGGCTTGTGTGATGACTGCAAAGCTCACTGTCGGCCATTTGGGGAGTGCTTTACAAATTAATGTCAGAGTGCAAACAAAGAAGGCTCCAAAATTTTTCTAAAATTGCTTGACTGAACTGTAGCTCCCAAAAAAAAAGGATATTTTGTAAGATTATGATCGAATCATTAAATGTTCTACATGTATTTCTCACTCTTGTTCACATATTTACATTTACATCCAACACAGATTCAGAGATGAACGAATATGTATAAAGTGTGTAATGACCTTGGCCACACCTAAAGGGGATGAATGAGATTAACCTCTAGAAATAAAGGTTGAAAGAATCCATCCATCGTCCACTTCTTCCTTTCCAGGTCATGGGGGCCGTTGGTGCCATGGCAGGGTACACCTTGAACAGGTCACAAATCCATCATTGGGCTAAACTATGCATGGACAGAAAAAAGTTACAGCACTTGTTCAAATCTTTTTTTACATGTGGTTTCTGTGGAAAGGTTATGAACGATATGATACCTGTTGTATAGAATCCTTTGTATGTGCTTAGTTTGGAGAACTAGACTTTAATTCAGACAGAATTGATTAGATACATGTAGCTGATTCAGAAAGCTGAAGCCAAATTGGATTGTTGCTTTCTTAAATCAACCCTAATCACAAATATTTTCTAGTGGATCAGGCCAATACGTTATATCACAGTTATTTCCCAATATTAGTTTATTCACATTGCATTTTGTGGTTCATAGTAGTTTTGCACATCAGCGTGAAGAGATTTGCTCATTTCTTCATAGAGAACAACTTGAACTTTAGGTTAAGTTTTTATTTTTTCATGATATTTCCTCCACTTTGATTCCTTAGCAATATTTGAGTTGGAATTGTGTCAAAACAGAACTACTTTGAAACATTTCCTTTTTTACTTTTTTTATTTATTTTTTTACATTTCTTCAGAAGAACACTTCATGTGCTCATGTCCTGCTCTTTTCTGAGGCTCAGTACACAGCTCCATATGTTTTTTTATTTATTTCTTGACTTTACTTGCTTAATTCATAGTTTGTTGTTCCATCTTGCCATAATGCATTTACTCACATCTATATTATTTTCATTCCCTCGATAAAAAGTGTTTTCCATCCTGGTGAATTCTTTTTTTTTTGTTCTTCTATACATTTTGTGAAAAAAAAGTGAACTGAAGTGGCTCACTTGTCTTTTCAATGGAGATGTTTAAGAATAGATTATTTTGTGAAAAATAAGATAATTTTAGTTAAATCAAAATTATGATCATTTTCAAGCAGCAAAATTTCCACTCACTGTTTAATGCCAAACACATCAAATCAAGGTTTAAAAAGTTTTTCTTTTATGTTGCATATTTTGTATTGGAAATATGGATCTTTTTACACTGAAAGTCCCTAATTTACAGAAAAACAACATAATCTTCAAAATCCATCCATCCATCCATCCATCCATCCATCCATCCATCCCCATTGATTATCTTTACCCACTTCTTCCTTTCCAGGTTGCAAGGGACACTGGTGCTCATATCCAGCAGTCACTATGTGAGAGGCTGGGGACACCCTGAACAGGTCCCAAGTCCATCACAGGGCCCCAAAGAGACAAACGAGACAAACAACCATTCACACTCTCACTCTCACCTAGGGACAAGTTAGAGTTACAAATCAGCCTAACATGCATGACTTTGGTCTTTGGGAGGATTCTTCTTCTTCTTTTGGCTGCTCCCTTCTCCAGGGGTCACCACAGCAAACTGTATCGCATGAAGACTTGGCAAGTGTTTTTATGCAGGATGCCCTTCCTGACGCAACCACAGACAACCAAGCTGCCACAGCTCTCTGTGTGGAGCAGAGAGATGCTATCTAGGGCACCTGGGGAGCAGATGGTGGGGGCTAAGATCCTTGCTTAATTCGAGATTTGGGATTCCCAACCTGAACATCACAAACTCTGTGTGGGATTACAAGACAGACCCATCAGATATGATCTAAACCCACGGAGGAGTCTTAGTTTATGTTTGAAAACCAACAAACCAACAAAAACTCTTTGAATTTCATCCATCCATCCATTTTCTTTACCCGTTTATTCCATTTTGGGTCACAGGGGTCACTGGTGCCCATGTCCAGCAATCACTGTGCGAGGGGCGGGGTTCACCCTGGACAGGTCGCAAGTCCATCACAGGGCCACATAGAGACAAACGAGACAAACAACCATTCACTCTCTCACTCACACCTAGGGACAATTTAGAGTTACCAATCAGCCTAACATGCATGTTTTTGGTCTGTGGGAGGAAACCGGAGTACCCGGAGAAAACCCACCCATGCACAGAGAGAACATGCAAACTCCACCCAGAAAGGCTCCTGGACCGGGGTTTGAACCAGGAACCTGTTCGCTGAGAGGCAGCAGCTCTACCAGTTGCGCCACAGTGCTGCCCTCTTTGAATTTGTTTTTATTATTTGTTTCCTTTTTTTCATCCATCCATTTTCTTCCGCTTACCTGGAGTCGGGTCGTGGGGGGTAGCAGCCTAAGTAGGGAGGCCCAGACTTCCCTCTCCCCAGCCACTTGGGCCAGCTCCTCCAGGGGAATCCCAAGGCGTTCCCAGGCCAGCCGAGAAACATGGTCCCGCCAGCGTGTCCTGGGTCTTCCTCTGGGTCTCCTCCCGGTGGGACGTGTCTGGAACACCTCACCAGGGAGGCGTCCAGGAGGCGTCCTAACCAGATGCCCGAGCCACCTCAACTGACTCCTTTTGACGTGGAGAAGCAGCCGTTCTACTCTGAGTCCCTCCCGGATGACCGAGCTTCTCTCGCCTTTTGACTCAGCTCTCTCTCTTCACCAAAACAGACCAGTACAGCACCCACTTCACTGCCAACGCCGTACCTATCTGCCTATCGATCTCTCACTCAATTTTTTCCTCATTCGTGATCAAGACCTCGAGATACTTAAACTCCTCCATTTGGGGCAGGACCTCCTCTCTGACCTGGAGAGGGCACTCTACCCGTTATTTTTCTTTGTTTGTTTTTAAATTTATCAACATGGAAAGTGATCACCAAAAGCTATTTCTACCAGTTTTGTTGCCACAAACATATTTACTTGTTACAGTTACAAATTACTAGTATATAGATGTTTGATGCACAAAATAATTGATACCAACTTTTTGCATTTCCAATAAATCCAATTTTTCTTTCAATGTTTTGACATCATTTATTTTTTCATGGCTTGCACAATAAACAGTTGTATCAGAAAGAAAATTGCTCACTTCCCTTGCATTGTTGAAGTTAATGAATACAACGGAGCATAATTTACAGTGATGCAAGAGATTGCAATGAACTTGTTTTGCATTTCTGCTTGGTAAATATTCAACCTGCTACAGGTAATGACACAGTTTCTGAAGCTTTGAGACAGACAA